CCTGGAGGAGGCCCGCTAACCCCCAGAACTGGGATCTGGCCTCAGAGGGTCGGGGACTCAGCCCCTAACAGCTAGGGGCACAGCACAAGGCCACATGAGGCAGATGGGGACAGGTGATAAGGTGCCTGGCTCAGTGTCAGGAGAGACTGGAACTGAATTCCTGCCTTGGACACGTCCTAGCTGGGTGACCTCTCTCCTAGCCCCGGTTTCCTCTCCTGTAAACCCACAGGACCTGAGGAGATGTTGGCCATCCCTGTCTCCCATGCTGGGCCCACGGGAGGCCAGCAGGGCAGTGGGCTCTGAGGCTGCCAGAGGGACAGAGATTTCCTGCCTGCCCACGGCCAGCACACCTGGAGAACACACTTGGGGTCCCAGTGGGCCTCACTTGGAGGCTCTGCTTCCTTCCTCTGCTGGACGGCAGAGGCTGAGCTGCCCACTCCTCCACCTCCTCCCCGGCTCCCTGATGGCTCTTCCAGACCACCCCCCGAAATGTGTGGCTCTCCTCAGTTGTCATCAGCCAGGATGAGAGGGGCAGGGAGGGACACTCCTGACCTTGGGACAGACTCCCGGTCGGATGAGCAGATCAGCCCCGCTGCTCCATGGGATGAAGGTGCCCAGCAAGGGCCTTTGGAGCTCAGAAGAGGGGTCCTTTGGGTCTGAGTGGTCCAAGGAGGCATCTTGGGGGAGCCCACATCTAAGCTGGGCCTCAAAAGCCCCCCAGGATTTCAACAGAAAGAAGATGCTTCCCTGGGCAAGAGCTGCAGCTGTGCCTCCAGAGCCCCAGGGCTGCCACGAGCCCACCTCTGTGGCTGGGAGCTACAGAGGACTAAGGGAAAAAATGAAAAAAAAAAAGGACAGAGGGCACCCAGGAGGGAAAAGGGGCTCGGGTTCCTGCTGGACTCCTGGTGAGGGGCTTGCCTCCCTCCCCCTCCCAGCGGCCCCGCCTGGACTGCTAAGGCCCAGTCGGCCCAGGAGGAGGGTCCTACTCACTGCAGGCAGGGCCAGAGCCCCTTCAGAAAGGCAGTAAGTCCACGGCAGGGTCCATCCAGGAGGGAGCCTAAGGCAGCCAGCCCAGGGAACACACACCAGCCCCCAGGGCACCTCTCACTACAACCAGGGAGGCAGGCCCCCACCTGGCCAAGAAGCAACTGGGCGCTCCAGGGAAGTGCGAGGGTCTTATTCCAAGGTGGAATTTCTGTAATGCCCAGGAGGGAAAAGAAGGAAGCCCAGATAAGCAGAGCAGTGTGCAAGGAGCACAGAGAGTTTATTACATATTTTTTCCCAAACACAAGAGGGATAGACAGAGATCGTCAGTTTCACAAAGAATCCTTTTTGTTTTCTGTTGTGTGGATGGAGGGTGTGTGTGCGTGTGTGCGCACATGTGTGTGTTTGCATGTGAGTGAAAGTGCATGCGTATGTGTGTGTGTGTGTGTGTGTGTGTGTTAGCTCTGAATTTTTAAAAAAGAAAAAAATTGTAAAGTAAAGGGTTTTCAAAAGTTGCTGCTTGTATTTCACAGCCATGGGGTGAGCAAGACCTCTTCCTAACAGGATCATCCAGGGAAGGGCTGTGGCCAGGGAGCAGCGTGGGCATTTTGCTTGTCTTTGCCCTCTAGAAGGGTCCCTCATTGGCCACTGAAGTGGGAGCAAGGCTCACAGAAACTCAGAGCCTTCAAGCTGGGCAGGGGCTTGGTGGCCACAGGGTCCAGCCTGAACAAGACTCCGCTGTCTGTCGGCCAAGCCCTTGCCTGCAGACCTCTAGGCATGAAGGACAGCTTGGCTAAAGGCACGGAGGTGGGAGATGCCTTCCTAAGGCATCCCTGTAATGACTAGAAAGCTCATTCCTGCCATCACACCCAAATCTGTCCCTCCCTCCCCATGGGCACTGCTCCTGATTCTGCCCTCGGAGGCCAAGCAGAGCTGTTAGAAGACCAGTAGCATCTCCTACCTTATTCTCCTCTTCCCCCTATCTGGGGCCCTCCTGAACCCTGGGCTGCTATGGACTGGCCCTGGCCTCTGCTGTCCTGGTGGCCCACAGAACATCCGTTAGTGGTGCCCACCTGCCAACATTAGCAGTGGGGGCCCCCCAATCCACTTGGTGGTAGGAAGAGAAAGTGAGCCCAGATCACAAGCCCTTTGTCCCTCCTCGGTGGGCTTTCCCACCCCAAAGTTTATGGTCCAAAGGCACTGTCACCACCAGAGGGCTGTGAAATACATGGGAGGTCATTTCACAGGGTCTTGGGGGGTCCCTAAAATAAAAGCCCAGATCCAGGGCAGAGCAGAAAGCCAGAGCCTCCCCTCAGCCGTGAGTTCAGCTTGGTGTCTCCTGTAGCAAAGATGTGGTATCTTAGCAACAAGAATTTATCGAACCCAACAAAAGCCCCAGTCAGGGGGCTGGGAAGGCATTTTGGGGAGCCCACCAGATTCTTTGCAATGCACCCATCTCATCTGCAAGAGCAGCAGTCACGTTTCCACCCGTGCAGCTGCGGACGCCCTGAGGACACACATGTCTGAAAACGTGCCCGTTATGGTCCTGGGACGGGCCCAACATCGAAACAGGATTCCTCCAAGAAAATCATTTTTTCAGGCGCACTCAGCAGAATATTTAATCCCCTTGGATGCTGCCTTTGGATTGCTGAGATCATGCTGAGATTGCAGCTTTCTGGCACCATAAAACCCTTGCTTATGAAAAGAAGGGAAAAAATATGGTCTCTCTGGGAAAATCCATCTTCGAAGGACTTTTTTCCACCCTCTCAGTACTGTGTTCCCAGCATCCAGGTTGCACAAATCCACATTCCCCATCTGGGTCCCAGCCCAGCCACGGCAGCTCTCCAGACCCCAGTCCCCAGCTCCCTCAGGATGCTGAGAAGGTCCAGGCCTTGGCCCGGCTCTCCTTCCTCTGAGCCCTCAGTGAGGGGGGCGAGGAGCCCCCCACATCCCACCTGCCCAGGAACAGCCTCATCCAGTGACCTCGGCTTGGGAAAGTGAACGCTGCACATTCAGCCTTCAAGGCCGGGAGAACCTGCTCTGAACGAGAGAGAAATTCTCTATCCACCCCAAGAGCAATGGGGCAGGGGGTCCCAACCCCCGACTTGGCTCGTGGAGAAACTGAGGAAGGGCAACTTGTCCAAGCTCACACAGAGCCCAGAAGGTCGCCCAAGGACAAATGCACTTTTGCACGTGCCCAGGCCAGGGTCCTTCCCCTCACCCTCTGCCCCCTCCTCGATGGGAGACCTACTGGCTATGGAGATATTAGTGCATCTCAGTAAAGATGCCTCATCTGACTTCAGGGGACCCAGGGGGAAGCATGCATCAAACAGTCAAAGGGGGCAGCCCTTCCTCAGCCTGGGGCCCCCACCTGCCTGCTGGCAACAGCTCCCGCCTTGCCCCCTCCTCTCCTTGGTGCTGGAGGAACTCCATAGGCCAACGAGATGCCCCTCTCCAGGACTGCTGCCGCTGCTGCCCCTCCTAAACACATCCTCTGCCTTCTCACCAGATTGAGCTCTGTCCTTCCACACACAAGGGATGCTGGGGAACCCACCTGCCTGGCATGAACAGTCTAGGTCAAGATCACAGGTTCCATCTCCCACCTCCAGGTCTTTGGCCAGGCTGTCCCTCATGCCTGGAATGCTCTCTCTCCTCACCTCCATGTCTTGAAACTCCAGGCTCCCTTCAAGTCCAGCTCTGGTCACCGCTCCATATGTGAGACCTTCCCTGAACTGCATTCCCTCACCTTGACAGTACGTGCTTTCTCTCTGTCTGTCTCTCTTTCCCTCCTCTTCCTCTCCATCTCTCCGTCTCTGTCATACACACACACACACACACACACACACACACACACACACACGATGGTCCTATGCACATCCTGTGTATCCCAGACCCCTCCCCACTAGCAGGAGACAAGCCTCTTAAGTCTCTGGTACAAAAGCATTCTTCTCTTGGCTTTAGAATCAGATCCCACCAAAAGTGGCCTTCATGGGTGAATCCCCTTCCAGAACCCCCTGGGGCCTGGGGCCCCATGGCCCACCTGGAGCCATTCTGGGCTTTCCCCACGAAGCCCCTCTGACTCTGCTCCAGCGGCTCTTTGGGGCTCCTGCTGGCATACTCTCCAGGGAAATGGGCAGAGGGGGTCATGGGAGCAGTTTCCAGAGGCTGATCCTTCTGCAGGAGGTCTCAGCATCCCACTCCTGCCCCAAACCGGCCACAGCTTCACTAGCACAGATAAGACGCAATCTGGGCAGAGGGTGGCCATGGCAGTGGTGGGACCTACCCTGCCTATGTCTCTACCTGATGGAGGAGAGAGCCAGGGAAGGGCGGGGCCCCTGGCCAGCCATCAGAGGGAAGCTCTGAGCCCAACAAAGCCTCTCATAAAACCCAAGGTCTCCCCAAAGCCTAGGGTTTAAGGAAGGAACCACTTTGTGCATAAACCTGGCGATATTGTAGCAAACATCCTTTGTTCACTCAGCCCATAAACCTTGTCAAGGAACCTTGGAGGGAAGGGTTCCTTGGGCTGTGCTGTGGGAGATGTGGCTCCTGTCCTCAGAGAGCTCCGTCCAGCCTCAGATGGTACATGCATGGCCACAGACCCACCCCCTGCCAGGAAGCATCAACTTTCTCTCTCTGTTTCTACCCTCTCCTTGGCAAGACCCTGAGCTCCAGGGGGCAGAGGCCACATCCCGCTCTTCTCTGTACCTCTCCCCACAGCCCTGGGCACCATGTCCTCAGCAGGTGGGACTAGAGGTGAGGTGGGAAGCAGCTCTGATCCTCCCTCTCTACTCTGCCAGGCTCTGCAGCTGGCACAGACTGGCTCAAATCCCCACCAGCTGAATGTCACTAGAGCCAGTAATAGGAGGTGCTGGGGGGAAAGAGGGAGGTACTGTCCTTTAGGGTTGCTGTGAGTGCCTGTGAAGGGGACCAGGAAGAGGGAGCATCCCGTCAGGGGGCCTGTGTGGTCAGATAAGGCCAGCAAGAGAGATGGGGAGCTCCCATTGGTGTGTACGTACCATCCAGAAGAGGGTCCCGGTGGCCAAAGCAACATACTGCTCGATGGTGGAAAGCACGCTGAAGATGAGGCAAATCAGAACAATGAGGAAGCTGGAAAACATCCCGAGAAACAGGTGCATGTCAGTGCCAGGGCTGGGGGGCTCCGGGACCCTCCCCACCTCCATGCCCACTGGCCTTGGCACCAGAGGGTTCCCACTGCTCCCCTGAAATGCTGAGGCCAGAGGGACCGGGGCGGGGAGGGAAACCCCCCCTGCCCTGCCAGGTGGGGCAAAGGGAACTCCATGGCACCTCTCAGCACAGCCCAAATTGGCGGTCATCTCCTGTAACGACCCCCTCGTGCCTAGAGGTGACCATGAGCCCAGGAAGGCTCTGCCAGCTGAACGGGAGGGCTGGCACACAGCTGCCAAGCTATGGCCCCAGAAGTGGGCACTGTGTGCATGTGCATGTATAGACATGGGTGTGCTGCACTGGGGCTGGTGGGGATCCATCCTGCTCGGTCCAAGAGGCTCCCTCATTCATCAGACAGTGGGATGCCAGGAGCTGAATGTTTGGGAGACCAATTCCAAAGGCTTGGAGGCTGGACTATATGTCACTGGAGGACAGTCCCATGCAGACAAAGTCATGGTTCTTCCCCTCACCCTCAATTCCTCATCCTAAGTCTGAGATAACGTGGACAGGGAGGACACTTCTCCGTATCTCACTCCAAATCCCTGGCCACGGGAGGAGGCGGGTAAGGGGACCAGGAGGGAAAGTCAGCCACCAATGTGAGGTTAGTGTGCATTCCAGCTGGAGAGAGGGGCATCCTAAAGCCCAGAGGAAAGAGGCCTTCACGCAGAAGAGAATGATGTCCAATGTCAGAGACTGCAAAGAAGCCAAGGATGAGGATGAGAAGGAGAAAAGGCCCCCGGATGGAGAGATCGCTGGAAGAGACCAGCCACGCAGCCCCAGGATTACTCCACCAAGCAAAGCCCATCCCTTTGCTGCTCCTCTCCAGCTTCCATGCCCTGTCCCCCGCATGCCATCTCTAGGACGCTCTGTCAGACCCGCTGGGTTTCCTGCACCTCAACACACCGCTCCCTAGCGTGACCACTAGATGGCAGCAAAGACCAGACTATGGTCCCAGCCACCTCAAGGCCCGAGATCCAGAGAACCAGGGAGCTCCCTGCCACAGCTGGACAGAAGACCCAGACCTGGTGAAGGCCCGCCCGGACTGTGGGCTCCGTGCAGAATCGTTCTTGTCCTCTCCTCGGGAAGCTCTCCTTCCTTCCCCCCCTCGGCCTCTCTCCCCTGGGCTCCTCAGCCAGCTGAACCTCTGGGAGTCCCTCCCCATCTATGGGGACAGCAGGAGGTGAATGTGGGCTGTCTGATCCTGTTCGCTGCCTGCATTCACCATCGAAGGAAATGTTCCTCTTCACTTAGAAGAGTCGTTTTTCCCACCCAAGTTCACAGACACCTCCCCCAAATTTGCACAGGCCCCCAGGTGGAGAAGCCCTGTTCTAGAGCTCAGGGCTGGCCCTGGCTGGAAGGCCTGCTTAGCTCCCTCCTGCCTGTGTGACTTCGGGCCTGTATCTGCTCTCTCTGGGCCCCGGTGACCTGTATGCCAGCTCCCGAGACACTGGCTGGCAGTGAGGACGGCCCAGAGCCGGGATCCTTGTGGGGGGGGGCCCAGAGAACACATCAAAGGTGAGCTGGGCCGGGAGGGCTGCTGATAAGGACAGGCCCTGACGCAAGCCCAGGAGAGGGAGGTGCAGATCTCAGGGACAGTGAAGGGGAAACCTTTCAGGAGGGGGCAGCCAGCCAAGAAGGGAGTGAAAGGGACTGAGGAATGTCCGGGACCGCCCTGGGGCAGGCCAGCCAGCCAGCTTAGGGCACGCAAGACCTGGCAGCCCGGGACTGGGGGGGGGCAAGGAGGCAGGAGCCTCCAGGGCCCAGACACCCAGGCAGACCCAGCCCACCAAGGGGAGGCTGCACTTTGCAGGCCCTGTGGATAGAGGGGAAGCCAGGCCCCCCAGGCTCCCAAGATCCTATTTCTTCCAGGCAGAAGTAAGATTTTTTCCTTTTCAGAAAGAGGGCAGCATTGGATAGGAAATAGAACATGACTTTGGAGCAGGGACAGAGACCACAGATCCCGGCTCCTGCATTTACTGCCTGCATGACCTTGGCAAAGTCAGCCAGCTAATCACTCAGTCGGTCAACTAACACTAATTCAGTCCCTACTACGTGCCGGGCACTGTGCGGAGGGCTGGGCTTCAACAGGCCCCTTCACGCGCTCCAGTTTCAACAATCAGAGAACACTGGCATTCAAAGCCTTCTATCTCCGCCTTGTCTCCAGCCCCATTCAGGCCGCTGCTCCCCCAAGCCACGCTCCATTCCTGCCACTCCTCCTGTCCACCTCCTCGGCCCCAGCTAAGCCCTGCCCATCTTTCCCTCCGCAATTTCCACTCCGTACCTTCTCTTGTTGGCCTCTGTCCTCCTCTGTCCCTCCCCCACAAGACGGACAGCTCCCTGAGGAGGCCCAGCCAGCAGAGTCAAACCCAAGGGGAGCGCACAGTAGGGGCAAAGAGCTACGAGGGTTTAGAAACCCTCTTGCTGACAGGAGGAGGAAACTGAGGCACCCCAAAGGGAGCAAGGGCTTGCCCAGAGTCACGCGGGTGGGAAGTGACAGATAAGATTTGAGTCCTGGTGAGTCCACACAGAAGTGACTCTGAGAGCGTAGCAAGGTTGAAGGACTGTTTGGGGGTGAGCTCCCCATCAGCACAGGGGATGCCAGCATACACAAAAACTGTTTTTGGTCCCACCTTCCCTTTGTCCCAATGGCAAAAACTCTCCAAGGACAAGGGGACATCACTCTTCTCCCAGTACAGCTTAGCGCCAGCTTATCTGATCGCTGTGTCCTGGGGACCCAGAGAAAGTCAGAGTCGAAATGGGGAGAGGTCTCAACTGAATTACTTGGAGAGAAAGAAAAACTTCTTCCCGGAGTGAGAAAGAGACAGGACCATTGTTTCCAGAACTGGAAGGGACCTTGGAGATCTTCAGTTGACAGATGGGGAAACTGAGGCAACTTAGTTCAGGGATGAGACTTTCCCCTGCTCAGGAGGGCTCACTGAGTCAAGGACAAGTAGACATCTGGCCTCTGCTTGGAGCCCCCTGGGGGAAGAAGTCGGCCACAAAGTTCATGAGAAAATCAGATTCTGCTTACAAAGGCTCGGAGTGCACACAGGGCAGGAACAGGACTGTCACCTAAAGCGAAGTTCACCCGACCCGACCCTTCTCTGCCAGCACCTCAGCCCTCTTTACTGGCCCTCAGAATCTTTGGGGGAACCATGGAGACCAGCTCGGCTTGAGGTCCTCCCCCTAGTCACCAACCACAGAAGGAGTGCCGCCCTCTAGATTGAATGGCCCCTTTTAGCTGTCCTGGATGGCCTGACCAGGCCAGGAAAGGGGGGGCATGCTGGGCCTCACTGGCCCAGGCCCTGTACACCGGGGCCTCACCTCAAATGAGGCAGCCGCTGGAGGTATGGGCTGCCCAGCCCCAAGCCTCTGATGCTGTCCCAGAGCCCACGAGGCAGCTGGCATGGAACTCCGAGGGATGGGGGAGGGCTCTCAAAGGCGGGAGCCAATGGAGGTGCTCCCTGACCCCCCAAGGGGGCTCCCCCTCCCCCCAGGCTGCCCAGGGCTGGCTCAGAGGACCCCTGCTTCATGGCTAACCCAACCTCTTTTTCTGCGGACACAAAATGAAGGCCAGAAGTTCTTGCTGTATTTTTAAAAATCACATGGCCATTCAAATATTTTAATTTGTATGGTAAGCAAGGGTATCTGTAAATTCATCTCCTTTTTTAACTTGCAGAACTGACTGAATATGTAAATACATTTCATTAAAGATGTGACTGTTATAAGTTTTATCATAATTTAACTTTCGAGCTGTGTCATTTAAAGACATTTTAAATGTAATTTACATTCATGCTGCCTGTAATATTGCCTTTTCAAGTTTGTATACATCAGATGCGTATTTTTGTTTTGGCGTAAGGTACTGTCTAATTTTTCTGGGTATTTGATCCATATTATAGACATTTTGGGAAGGAATGGAATTGACTTCCCAAAAGTTGTGAACAAATACATTTTTACATTTAAAAATAATAATAAAAAAAAGAAAATGAGGGCCGGAGAATAAGGGCCTGCACACAAGAGAGGCACGTGTGGTTGTGAACATGGACGTGGGCACTTGTGCAAACCACTCAACCCACACAACGAAGTGAGGGGGGCCCAGTGGGAAGGCAGACCAGCTCCTCCCTGCCTCAGGCCGCCCCCCCCCCCCCCCCCCCCCCCCCCCCCCCCCCCCGCCACGAGGTGCCTCTGAAGGCCTGTCAGGGATGGCAGAATAGGCCAGCATTCTCTGGAGCCTTGGGGGTCACCACAGGCCTGCCCTGGGCAGCCCCAGGGGGACCAGCACCCCAGAAGCCCCAGCCTGAGCTCTGATCAGGGCAGCTCATTCGCACGTAGTCACACACACACTCAGACACTCAGACACACATTCACACAGTCACGCACACCATTTAATTACAGAATATATGTATGTGTGTATATATATTATATAGATATATTGTACATACATATATATTCAGATACTTTTGGGCAAAAACAATTCCCAAGGTAGTTACCAAAAGAGAAGATGAATGAATGAATGAATGAATGAATGCTCATTTATCAAGTGCCTAAGGCCCCAGCCCTAGGGACACAAACAATAAAGTGAGACAGGCCCTACCCTCTCTTTTGCCAATGAGTATCTGAATATGTATTTTTAATTAAAAGGATTCTTTGAACCCTGTAGCTGTGATCATGGAATAATGACCAGGACAAAAGCCTTCCTTCTCGGCATCCCCCATACCCGGAATACCCTCTGCCTGCCCCTTCCAGGAAGCCCTCCTCCATCAGCCAGGACTGATTAGACCTTCCTGTCTCCTGCTCTAGTCCCTGGACCCTTGGCTTTCTTCTCATCTTGGCACAATGCACGTGGCAGGAAGACCGGCCTTTCATTTTCTGCCTCCAACATGAATGCTGTGGCCTGGGGAAGGTCATCCGAGCCTCTGTGC